CTGGTGAGTTCAAATTTTTTTCAGAATCAAAATCCGTCAACGTTGACTAACTTTAAATTTTTCAATACTTTAGGTCTTTTCAGCTAAAATTGGGGGCAGTAACGAGGCCCCTTAATAATAGATTATGACTTTTAGTTTTTTGTATTTATACAACGACGTGACAGACTGCCGGATGCCCGGATGTATAAAAAGTTGCCTACAAAATGTTCCTTAATCTAAAAAATATCGAAAATACATTGTCATATTCAAGAATTTCTTTTTATTTAAACGTTAAATGTTTACATAATTAATCAAAATCACGAACATTCGCAAATTATTATGTAGTTACAAATTGCAATTCATAAATTTATGTAATGAAAATTAAAGAAAAATTTAGTGAATAATTACAAGAAATATTTTATGAGGGATTAGAATTTCAAATTTTGACGACATTATATTATACATATATCCAAATAATATATAATAACAATCGTATTTTAACCTCAACCGATTTTTGTTATTTAGTTATTTAAAAAAAAAAGATCGATATAATAAATTGAAACATTCCACTGTTGTCTGTTACATAATACCTATATATTATATTTTTTTTATCCACAGTGAAATATTCAAAATATTTAGTCAAATTTCAAACTTTTTATAGGCATTAGAAATATTTTTATCGACAATAATTTTAAAACAATTAATAAAAATCGATAATGTATTAAGGATAGGAAGCTACTCTATGGTAGGAACAAATCTTATCATGCGAGATTTCGTCAAAACTAGAAATACTAATATTTATATTTACAACAGAATAATATATACCTATTAATGATTGTGTATAATATTATGTTGCATGTGGGTCTGAGTGAGAAAACAAATATTGAGCTGACATCCTTTGAGGCACACATTTAATTTAGTCTACAAAAATAACACTCTACGAGTATAATGATCTCGTAGAATAAACCTGCAATTTGATTTTTAACTAAAATGGGGTAACATTTTACTCATCGCATTGAAATCCGTTTTTTAATACTTTAATCTCACACTTTATAATACAAGTATATAGTTTTAAGAATAAGACAATTTTAAACTTTTTTTACAAACCATTTTACGATCATTTTAAATAAAATATAAAAATTGGACATTAGTTAGGAAGTGTACTTAGGTACATCTTTCGGTTGAAAAAATAGTTATCAAAATCCAAAAATTCTACAACGCCAGAGGCCTGTGAGATTTTTTCCTGTGAAGTATTTTTTGTTGATATAATTCACCGTATTAATCCCATAGACATATAAATATTTATTTACATGTCTATGATTAATCCCTCTTAAATAGTAATCGGGCAGAAGATTAGTGAAAGAGTATTATAATATTTATGGTGACGCATAAAATATAATTTTCAAATTTTATAGAATTGCGGAAAAATTGAAAAATCGGCACCTTGTTTGATTTCAAATCGAAACATTTGACGCTTATCTTCAATCCCGGTTTACACCATCTATAGCTACAAATCAAAAAATAATAAAACAATAATAAGTGCCGTCCCCTGTCTTAAGTCTTCATTGTACCTATACCTATAGGTTTTTCCGAAGTCGGGAAATCACTTTGACGATACATATGTTATTAACAAAATAATAATAGGATCTACCTAATTTTGTCGAACATATCTTTATAAGTAAATCTATAATAGTAACACATCTGACTAAAGCTCTGTTGACAGGCGTCTTTCGAAAATTTCAGGGGCAGCCAACCACCGCAGACACGCCCAGTGGCGTATTTAAGAATTTGTCATGAGGATCCAGATCATTTTCAGAACACAGAGCCACGGGGGACGAAGCCCCCCCACACCACCCATTTACTCTTTATTAAATAAAATACCATATTTATAAGACGATATAAAATTGTCGAGTTTTTAATTATTAAATAATAATATGTACAAAACAAATTTTAAAAAAAGCGGGTAAGTGGATGTCACTCTGCTGCTGTACAGTAGGTTACAAGTCGGTCAATGTATAATGGATTGTATTAAACTTGAACTCAATGATATAATATCATAATATCATTGTATAAGAAAAACGATTCTGAGCGAAGACGGATTGTCAGTCTGGATATTTTTAATTTTATATTGTTATTATTTATTATAGCCGGTAAGTTGAATTAATAATGAAATATTTTTTTTTTTATTTATTCTTTTCTATGGTGATAGACAAAGTGTTAGAAATTAAAATCCCATTTTTAGCGGTTTTTCGTAATTTTTTGGTGGTTTTTACAGTGGCATTAAATAACTATTGAGAAAGTCGAAAAATGTAAGTAAGTATTAAAAAGATCCAATTTTCTAAAAGATAAGTTACTATACTTATGTCTATACATGTTGAAATCGAAGGACTCCTTCTGGAAAAAATTTTGTATACAGGAAAAAAAAATAAACACCATTGTAAAACCAATAGATCCCTCAGAATCTAATATATAGTTATGTTATAACTTTTATACAAATATTTCCTAAATTACATTAGGTAGGTACCTACTTCCATTCATAGTTGATCTTAGATAGCTTTTCAACCTTAAAAAGGTTGAAAAAGATCTCTCTGGAGTGGTTGTAGATACTGGCAATGTACAAAACTACAAAATATCTGAATTAAAAAATGAACTTGGTATTTTTCAACCATTTTCGGTACCCAACTGATAAAAATAATCACGATACTTATTGAAAATGTTGATATAACTATAGCTTCGAAAATTTTTTATAAAATCCGTAAAATCGTATGATAAAATTTGTTTTAATCATGTAAAAACTGTACAACATTTAACATGTACGACTCGTACGAGGCACGAGTCAATGGGAGGGGGTCCGGACCCCATGGACCCCCCGTAAATACGCCACTGGACACTCCTACGAATATCTGTACACTACAGATATCATAGGTGTGTCTACGGTGGCAGCCTAGGGTGCCTGGGCGGCCCCTACAATTTTTGAAAGGTGCCGGTCAACCGAGTTTTAGGTCGGAGGGTTATAACATTTTTTTTTTTTTTTAAACTTGATTTTTTCGTGGGTATCGTTATAATTACCATTTACTTACAAAGATTGATTTCCTGACTTCCGAAATCGGAAAAACCTACTATAAAGACTTGACGAGACGGACGACGACGGTACCTACAGTACGCATCTAGGTATTATAATTGATATTATTGTTGTATTATATTTGATTTGTTGCTAGGTGGTGTAGGTAATCCAAGTTATGGTACGCATAAAAGAACGTCCCGAAATGAGTCGCACGGTTGAACGGCCACAGGCTGCGCTGCTTACGCAAAGGGTCCCTACTTTGACCCACGTAATATTATAGGAATTATTCGTGTTTTTTTGGAAAATATATTATTATATGCGTTATATTGAATCAAATTCATTTTTAGATTTTATAGCTGTTGCAGTGCGATTATACGCATTTATAAAAAAATTGCATAATATTATGTGTATATTTCGTAAATATTATTCCGATTATTATTGTGTAAATAATTAAATTATAAAATCCTTTAACACTACCTATATAATATTATCTAGTTATTTTATACCCACATAAAAAAGCTTGCAAACATTATAATAACGTTATGTTTGACAAAAAACGAGTACAGTATTATATACTTTATTTCGTAGGTACAATTTTGTACACCTCAACTAACACGAGAAAATGAGATTTTTCCATGTCCGTGCTGGGGTAACGTTACTGCATCGCGGACATGGGGAGATCGCGTTTTATCGTGTTAGAGGAGGCGTTCGAAATTGTACAAAATAAAGTATAGGTACACAATACTAGATAATTTTGATATTCAGTTTCAAACTTGGCAGTGCTGGTGGGGTAACGGGCCAGACAAATCCCAGAGCTGAAAGCAGTGGCAGTATACAGTAGCCAGTAGGTATATGCACCGACGTTGGACCGGAGGTATAAAAAAACAATATTTGAAAAAAAAATCGGGTAGGTACGCTCTGCTGTACATATGAGTAGTCACTGTAATGGATGTATTACATTTTTAATTTATGATATAAAACCATTGTATACGAAAAACGATTCAGAACGTAGACGGTCTGTCAGCCAATATAATAGTATTAGGTACTAAGTATATTTGATGATGCGTTATTGTGATTAAAGTAATTTATTTTAATATTAGGAATTAGTGCCTACTACAGTAGGTTTAATTAATACAGCCGAAAAATTGGATTTAATAATATCATTGGACATTAAGTCCCTAGAAACTAAAACCATGGGACGGAAAAAAGTATTGTTATAAGTGTGCTATGTTTTTTAGGCGTGTGGAAAAATAAACCAAGGAAAAAAAAACCACGAAAAAAAAAACTAAAAAATAAAAACCAAAACATGAAAAACCAAATGAAAAAAAGTCCACGGAAAAAAATCCAAAAGAAAGAAAAACCATGAAAATAAAAACCAAATTTCATATTTTGTTATCATACTTTAGGTATTCTGTGTGTTGTATAATAAAGAACAAAAATTAATGAGTTAGTTAATAAATCAGAAAATTACAAATAAATATTTTGTCAGTAGAATAGAATATAAGTATAAACTGTAAATAATTGTATAGGTACTATGTTTTAGGAAAGTATTGTTGGGGTGTGTGTATGTACCTATATGAGTGTGTATAAAATGCACAAGTATTTAACCATATAAAGATAATATTTTATATTATTAAAGATACCATTAAGATAAAAAAGGTACCTACAGCTTATGTTGTTCATTTATTCATTACATTATATTGTATATATCATATAGGTTTTTGATACAAAATCGGACTTATTTAGACTGTCTAGATAATGTCTAGATAACTGTCTAGACTCTAGATAATACAGGCACACATGCATCAATTTGTTATAGTTAATAATAATATAGGTATTACCTAGTGAGTAGTGGCTATAGTTATTATTTAGTTGACCATCTACCTATTTAGTTGTGACACAGTGTAGACATCTAGAAAACATCGGTTTTAAAGCATTAAAGTTTTTATGATTAATTATGGAAATAATAGAATCAAATAAAGGCATAGACAAATTAGCGTTCAATGGCTATATGTACGTAATGAAGCACGCAGGAAAAAATTATTACACATGGAGATGTAATAAAAAGAGTTCTCTAAACTGTCCAGCTATTCTCCACACCTCAATAAATAAAACAGACCCCATTCTCAAAGTTCAACATCAGCATCCTGCTGAACAATCAAAAATCGAGATTGCAAAGCCATAAACAAAATTAAACAGAATGCTAAGTGTTCTGGAGCTAATCCGTCGCAGATGTATGCTGAAGCGGTATCACAATTAGATGTCTACACTAAAGCAAGGATGAGATATTTTTTTGTAATTTATTAATTAGGTAACTTATTAATGCGTGTTCTCTATTATACAATGAGGTATCCATAACTTTTATATTGTATTTTATTCTACTGACAATATATTTATTTGAAATTTTCTATAATAATAGGTACCAATATGACAGAAAAAAATGATAGCAAAATATAAAAATTTGGTTTTTAATTTCATGGATTTTTTTTCATTTGGTTTTTTTTTTCCATAGTCTTTTTTTCATTTGGTTTTTTTTTCATGGTTTTTTTTTCCTTGGTTTTTTTTCCTACAACCGTTTTTTACGCTGGTAAAATTGATTTGTATTGTAGGTAGTTTGAGATGTGTATAACTTTATACTTTTAGCTTTCAGTATTTTGTTGATTTTAAATGCCGATGTCTATACTCAATGATTATTATTAAAATATTTCTCTAGTGCAATATTATTCTTGTTAGTAATTAACTTAAATTTTAATACTAATTCAATATAAATAATAAAATAAAATAAAGTTTATTAGGTTTCATTTGTAAGTGCAGTAGTTTTGAGAGTTTATCATATATTAAGTACTATAAAGTGCTATAAAGTGACTTATGGCTTAAGTTAAAGAATTTAATGTAGACATGTAGTAACTAGTAATATAGTTAAGTAAAAATAGGTAAATATTATATTTTATTTTTTATTACATATATTATGTTATCATAAAGGTGATATCTCCATTATTTTTATTTTTTGTAATATAAGATATAACCTAATACATATAATTATATAAAATATTATTAAGTATGATATTCCGTTGAGTTCATAATTCAATATGTTATGAAAAGCTTATTGTAGTGTTTAAAGTGCTGGTGTTTAAATAATAAAACAAAAAAATAAAAAAAATATAGTTTGCTCATTTAATTGAGTATTATGTATTATGATATTTTGTAATGATTCGTAATTAAAGGTAGTTGTTATATTTTACTTTGTATTGGTTTAGTTATTATCTTTTGATAGCTTGACGTTTAGATATAAAGTAACCATTTAAAATGATTGGTTTTTATGTAATGTCTTATGGTTTGGTATATTATTCCTAATCTGTGTTTTAAATTTAAATCTGGACCCGATATTTTATATATTTTATGTGGTGGGCTGATAAATTTTGTATTTATTAGATCTGGACGAATGCAGTTTATGGATACTCCAGAATCTATGGAAATTTTGTGTTTTCATTCTTTAGGCTTGCTTTTATATATGACTCATTAGTTTTTCTATTTTTGTCTATTATTATATGAACTGTGTCATTTTTAATGTTTTTAATGTTTGTAGTTGGCGTTTGTTGGTAATATTTTGTATTTATTAGTGTTTCTTGGACCAAAGGATTATGTCGGTACCCTGTAGGTTCATTTAACCTGTTTGTTGGTTATGTTTGGTTTGTTTTTAAATCATTGGTTTTTAAGTAACAATCGTTGGCAATATGGCATTTTTTATTTCGTAAGTTCCACTTTAATTTTTTCTTACATTCTGTTGTATTTTGGTTGAATTTGTAACAGTTTTACTAATTGGTATACCAGGAATGGTACAATAGGGGCCCAGGCTCGACCTTAAACTTTTTAGGGGCATAGTAAAATGTGCTTATATATTTAAATATTTTATTATAATGCTTATATTATAATAATATGTTCGTGGAGATCATGAAAATTGTGTTTGTCGCGAAAGTATAAAAAAATCAAAAATATTTGTGTGTACCTACCTAACCTAACCATTACATACATTTTATTAATCTAAAAAAAACATTATACCTTTATAGGTACAAATACAATAACTATAGTACTATAGACATTAATAGGTTAATATATTATCAACATTTATGTTGGTGTGTTAAAAAAAAAATTAGGGGCGCAGTCCAAATATTAGGGCACTATAATTGTCTAGGCTCGACCAGAAATTTAAGTCTACGCACGCCTATGTCCAAGGCTGTAGATGAATAATATTTCTGAAGTTACTGTAGATTATTATTTTAAATAGATAATTTGGACTTTTTTTTAAAAATTATGTAAATATTTCATTGTAGAGGGGGGGCTTAAAAAATACGGCTTTGGGTGTATAGGGCTTTTTTCAGTTCACTAATGAGGTATAGCTCCGGTTATATTAGCTATGCTGCCGCTGCCGATGAAGTCTAGTCACGCATATGACAGTCGACAGATATCTATATTGTACCTACGTATCTGTACACGGACCACGATTAAAGATATAAAGATGTGGAGCGGACCATGACAAATAACTAATAAGATTATTAGATTTATAAGATCTTATTTGTCACTACACGGACTAAGATAATACCACAGAATATGTATAATATATAGATAGGTACAACAACTAACTAGATAGGTAGCCGTCTTTATACTACATTACTACAACAGTCAGTTGTGAGTTGTGACCAATGTTGAAGTCGGCCGACATTTATAGAGCAGACGCCAGACAGTGTCTACATTTATTTTACATTTATATTCATATACATATTATTATCATATATGTATACTTATATATTCAGTCTTGTAAAGAATACTTTTATTTTGTATTCGGAATACATATTCGAATAAATGTAAATTAAGGTATTCAGAATACGTATTTGAGTAGGTAGGTACCTAGTTCTTAAAAAATATATTCAGAATATATATTCGAATACTATTAGAATACTTGTTTTTACATTTAGTTTTTGTCAGTTTTTGAATGGTTTGTGGGTGCTCAACATATTTTATTAATTAATAATTAAAAATACAATGTAATCGTAGTCATTTATAAAATTTTGAACACAATATGATACGGCCGATAAAGGCCTACGGGATACAACACATTGGTGTTTATAAAAATAATCATATCAAGGGCCAATATTATATTTCCTTCAAAGAAGAAAATTAATCTTCATGATTTATAATATGTTTTTATAATACAAATTTAAAACTATTTTTCTGGATTGGAAAAAAGTATTTTTTTAATGAATAAAAAATACAAATAAATGTACCTATTCAGAATAGGTACGTATTTGAATACTTTTTAGAAAAAGTATTTCAAATAGTATTCGAATGCAAAAAAAGTATTCAAATATTTTTATTCGAATACTTTACAAGACTGTATATTATATTCCACTAATTTCCACAGATATAATCATATTGTTCTATGATATAATATATATCTACTAATACTAATAGTAGAGAGCATTGATATTTATCTATATAAAGGCTCTCTAGTATACAGGGGGTAACAGAAAGATATGACAAAATCGATTTTGGTTTTTGGTTAAACTCTAAAAGAAATGAACGTATATACATGCAATTTTCACTGTTAGTTTATATTTGCATTTTCTATACACGATACAAAAAACATTTTGATTTGTTTTGAACTGTTTAGGAACATTTCCATTATATGTATACCTATGTCATATCTTTCTGTTACACTCTGTATAGTATAATATTATTATATCTGTGTATATTCATATGAACTTTGGTCAGTGATAATATTATCTCGTAAATGGCGCCCGACTTCGATGATAAGAAGGAGACGGCTAGTGTATAGTTACATACTTACATAGTATATACCTATTTAGTATAATAGTTGTTGTTGTATATCTATCTGTCGCTGTGGTCCGAGAGTAGTTTCTATATAATATAATATTATTAATATTGTATTATTGTAGTAGTTCTACGGTTTGGCTCCTGAGTGCTGACATGTTTTGGTCAGTAGCTCCATAGCTTAAGAAATTAGGTTAGGTTATACCTTATTCTCTGTTGGTTTAAAGGCTCTATCGTCGCACGAGACACCGTGGGTACACGGACAAAGTGGTGTCAGGCGCACTGTTGTTTTTGGAAACCGACCTACACTCTCGTACCTACCACCCGGCAAGGACATCCGGCCCTTAACATTTCGAACGGTTCCAATATTTATCTTGCATCCCCTATTGTGGTTCCGGACCTTACAGTACAACTGTGCTACTGGCAGTTGCGACACTGAAGAACTGCGATCCTGTACGACCTCTCATCTCTTCTGTGGATTCAAGCCTCCGGATTGGGATACGCCACCCGTATTGTTTGGTGGTCACGTTTGTTGACTTTTTACTCAGGTAAGGCGACGGACTCGGTACACCAGAACTCAGTGTACCTAGTACTGTAGTACCTACCTACTTTGCTTCATTTGGTGTTTCAGAGACACAAACATTTTTTTTTAGGATTTTTTTTTAATATACCTGTAAACAGTGTAAACAATTATACAATACAAACGAAATTCAATAGATATTTTAATTACATTTTTACATTTCTTTATGTTTGTTGGGTTACAATTATTGTTCAAGGTTTATTATTTCAATGTTTTATTGGTAGGCAGTGTTGGATAGGGACTTAACGCAAATTACCATTATTACTGTAACAAAATTACTTTTGCAGTAACGCTGAACTATTTTCATTATATTATTTTTGTTAATTAACGGAAAATTGATTTCAATAAAAATTTGAATAGGTAGGTACCATAAGGAATACCAAAAGGAATATTTTATTTTGATATCACTTGATTTTTAGATGTTATTTAACATTTTTTATCAATATTTAAAATCTATTTTAAATCAATTTCAAGCCCTGTTGTAGGGTAATGAATTCAAAATAAACATTGTTGTTCAGCAAAATTATTTATGCCTATATAGTATATCTGTATATCGTGTATGTCCAAATATTTTTATTTTGTAGTTTTATAAAATACTAACAACAATTATTATTACAGTATGTTCTTTTAAATTATTTTTATGTTGGTAGGTATACAAAACGATTACTGTGTGTCTGTGTATGATGGGTTTCGACACATTATGGGACATTAATAGCTATAAAAGTATCTATGAAAGTTCTGAACATTGGAAATTTAGAGAAGCATTTTTGATTGCCAATAAAAAGAAATACCCTAGAGATAGATTAGTGGCTTTGTCTAATATTTTTATAAATGTTGAATTTATGGAATGCAAGTGAGTTAAAGGTTATTTATTCTGATTGTTACTTAAAAACTATACAGTTTGTTACATTTTTTCAAGGTATCCAAAGCCTACCATGGATCTTATTGAAAATCTATCTAAAGATTTTGTTGATGATTTGAGAAATATGCTTAACTTAAAGGTACCAAAAAACAGTATGACTGATTCCAATGCTGCTGGAGCTAAATATAATGGTATTCATTATGAATTTATTTGTGTTAACAATTTTACTTTAAATAATAAATTATATTGCAAATATAGTTTTTGATGAATTTCAGAAAATGCTGAAACCAGCACAACAAATAATCCACCTCCCAACAATGAAATGAGATATTTAACACCATATGACACCAACTGTATAATACCAGGTTTTATTTTGAAAACTTCTCAGGGTGTATCTGTCTGTGGTATTCTTGAACAGTCATGTAGTTTTAGCGGAATAGCAAAACCAGAAATAAAATATGAACATTTAAGTAGCTCACATGTGTAATTATGATTTTATTTCAATTAGTATAGCTAGAATATGATTACAAAAAAATATGCTTTTAAGAAGAGGTATATTATTTCAGAATAATTAATTTAATAAGAAATGTACAACACATAAATAATTGTATTTATCTTTTAAGGTCCCCACACACTGGAGCGGTGGCGGTGAATTGCTTTAGGACACATTTCACAGCTCACCGCGGTGGTACCAAGGCAATAGAATTTAACGTTACCTCCACCGCTGCAGTGTGTGGACCTTAATACACTATTTGTTAGTATGTACTAATATCTTAATAATTTTGGTATTAATATCAAGTTGTTGGGGCATATTTGAAGCAACTTAGTATTATCGGGTCTTGATAAAGATCTGCGAGCTGAACGTTTTCGCCTAATAGAACTGCATTAATTTTTTGTAGAATTTCATAAATTTTTCCTAAATTTTTACTTCAATATGCAATAATTTTTGAATTTTGCCAAAATATGCAAAAACATGAAATAACCAGTTAAGTTTACTCAATTAGTAGGTTATAGTGTGGTATACAGCGGCATAATTTTCTATTAGATGATTTAACTTCTATGGTTAAGGAGGTGATTGTGGATCTGTTTATTATTAACGAGTTTTGATCAACAAAATTGGCAATAGTGGTTAGGGAATCTGATTGACTAATTGTGGGAGTTGGAAATCCTTTTTGGAATACCAGTTCCAATTATAAAATATCTGATAGATTCAACTTGAACTTACAATAAAGTATGTCTAATCAGTAGTAGTTTGAAAAAATTATTTTACTTTCAAAATTTTACCTTGAATTTTTTTACTTTTTTATAACATTTAGTACATTTTATTTTTATCATACATAGTCGATCAAAATTGTACATACAAAAACAATTGATAGCAGTTGGTGATTCAAATACAGAGAAAATGGCTCATAGAAATGTTTTAAATATTGCCTATGATATTTTGAAAGAAATGTGCTTTACCATTAAGGTACCTATAACATAATATTATTTATTATATATTATAACATCATCTATATTTTAGTCTGTTATCATAAATCATTAATTGATTAGGTGAAGGAAATTGATAAACAATCTCAAATTACATTGTCAGATATGGTGAACGATTTAGCAATTGATTCAACAATTGATTCTACCACAACTACAGAATATAATAAAATATCACACAACAATGTCGGTAATATGATTTTGAAAAACATGGGTTGGAAAGAAGGTCATGGGTTAGGAAAAAATAATCAAGGCATAACATCACCAATAGAGTAAGTCATTAATTCAAAATATGTTTAAAGTTTAAATAATTTGTTTGACATTACGCATTTTAATATTACATTATAATTTAATGATTTTAACATTAAATTTACAAGAAAAATAATACCTATTTTTTAATTATTTCTTCCATTTTTTAATTTTTTTAATGCATTGGCATTTAGGCCACTGGCTGACAATTATTTAATTTATATAGTTCTTATATAAACCATTTTACATACCTAAATTAAAAAATAATTGATTTGATTTAATAATTATTGTCAAATAAATTAAAAATATCAATAAGTTTCTTTTTTAATCTTTGTTTACGTGAATCTTGTATACAGAATTATTCGTCTTAAAAAAAGAGGTGGACTGGGTATTGCAAATTCTGAAACTAATATAACAAACTTGAAAGAATTTAAAACACAAATTAAGAAATACCTAATGAGGTTTTTAGATGGTCCAAAAAAAAGACTTTCATTTTCATCCGAGTTCACGAAAGAAGAGCGTATAATTATTCACTCGTAAGATTTGAAAATATAACAGTTTATTTTTGTTTGGGAAAATAGTATAGTTTGTTTTTACTAGGATCTGTACAAATATTGGCTTAAAGGCTAAAAGTTATGGAAGTCAAGCAAACAGGCAACTTGTGATAGTCAAAATACAAACTTCACAGGAAATTTTTTATGAACTCAAAAATTGCAGCAACTTTGAAAATGATTGTTATATATTGATACCGCCACTGCATGAAAGCAATTATGAACAGTGTAGTATGAATTTATAAACCTGCTTTTTTTTTTATATAGATTTTAATTGATACAACATTGCAGTTGATAGTTTTTTATTTTATATAAGAAACATATACTTCTATACATTTTTTTTTATCAATATTATTTATTATATCATTTTCCCAGGATAATTTACTTAATATATAACTTAAGTATATCATTAACTTGTATTATTTTTATGACTAAACTGTGCTATGTGTTACCTTGTTATAAATGAGAAAATAAAAATAAGCTTATGATGCTCTATACTATATTTATCTCTTATATGATTACTGAATGACAGAAGTGTAATTATTATTTGTATTCAAAATGTGTTGGCTGGCAGAAGGCAAGTAGATACTTATTTACCAACTTCTGCCACAATGCACCACTAGCGAGTCAAATCCAAATCAACATAATGATTGTGTATTGTGTTAGCTTTGCCAATCTATAGTATTATTTAATTGATGTATGTAATGCAATAGTTATATTTGGTATTAATATTTTTTTTAACTTAACTGAGCAGGCTGTCCAGTAGAAAAAAATTTGACAGTAAAAATATGCTTATAAATATATCTTTAACCGGAAAATTATATTGGTCAAAAGAGAAACGTGTGTAGGTAGTTCAAATATAGATTAAAAAATTAAAATTAATATTATGATACAATTTAAATAATTACCTACCTATTCAGTAACAATGGTTATATAACAAAATACAAATATTAAAAAAGTAAATATTATATTACCTAAGGTAAGATTATTAAATAAGTAAGTATTTCATTATAGTAAATTCATAGAGTGCATAATATTAATATGCATTATATATTTTAAGGACCTACCTAGTATAGATGACCTAAATTCATATTTAATTTTCTGTAAGACACACTACATTAAGACGTACCTATAGTAAATTAGTAAATGACAGATGTATATTATAATATCGATGGTGGTAGGGAAAAACTTGCTAAGTCTATTAGTATGTACAAAATTATCTAAGCTGCCACATAACTGGTTTTTCTCAAACAAAAAATTAATTTTGTGAAATGTTCTTTTTTTTAGAAATTTTTCATAAGTGTATAACAAAACTGGTAAAATCGATGTATGACTTGGTAATCGGAAAAAAAATCCCCAGCTACAATATTACTCACAATCACATGCAAATGGTTGAACAAATATATTTTGAACGTTAATTAGTATCTATAATTAATATTTAATGACAAATACGTATATTATATTCGATTAAAAAAATTATAAAAATATTTAGAATGATCGATACGTCAATTAATAATACAGTTAAAAACATAGGTAGTATACAAAAATATTATACAAAATATTGGTACCTATAATTATTATTATCATTATTATTACCACCTATATTTCGTATAAAATGTTTGTATACCTACCACTATTTAAGATATACAAATATATCTTAAATCGTGATACCTACTTAATATTTGTATATGTTATGTTTTTACTGTGAGTAGGTGACTATAATACATTCAAAATTCAATAAATTATTGTTTGATAATTATTTTATTATGATTATAGTTATTATTATTATTATTATTGATATTAACATTTACCACCTATATTTTAAATTTTAGATTCTGAGTGAAACGATGAATGTATTGATTTTACAATGATGTGTTTTTTTTTTTTTAATTTTTTAATTTTTTAATTTTTGTTGTGTCTGTGTACACGATAAGTAGTCGAAATAATGCTTCGATTTTCATTTTCAGTATCTTGTTCGATTGGAAAGTGAATATCGTTGCTGCATTGGGGAGGTCAAAATTTAAATTTCCCAGTAGTTTTCAAAAGCGCCGGGAAAAACAAAAGAAAAATTAAGGAAAAACGGGAATTTTTACGCAAAATCTGTTTTCGAGATAATCGATTTTGGTTTTTGGTGTAACTTTAAAACAAATGACCGTAGATACATGACATTTTCAGTGGTTGTTTATATTTACATCTTCTATACACAATAACATTTTCAAAATATTTTGATTTATTTTGAACTGTTTAGGGACATTTTCAGTTTCCAATTTTATTAGTTTTTTTTTTTTATGAATATCAATAAAAATTTATTTGTTGAGTAAAAATACTTGAAAATTTAATACAAGGCTCCTACTATATTGTTTCAAAGACAGATGAAAAATATTAAAAATCGTTAGTCACAGTTTTTTTTTTATAAGCATTTAAAGTTCAAAAATTGACAAAATATCGAAAAATCACGAAAATTAGCAAATTATTTTGAGTTAAGAATTGGTAAAAATTTTTCTTTTTAAATCTAAGATTTGAAAATGTAATACAAGATTACTCATAAGTTTGTCTACCTTTATCAATAAAAAAATCTCTACCGGACAGTCAAATTCAATTTTTATGAGCGTTTGAAATTCAAATTTTACAACATTGGATATTCACTCAATTTCTCATGTAGCGATTTCCTATTTTGTTGTTATTCAGAACCGAATAACTGTAGATACATGAAAATTTCTCTGAATGTTCAGATTAGCATATCCTATACACCATAAAATTTTGAAAATATTTTGACTCTTTTTGAGCTGTTTACGGATTTTTCATTTTTCAATTTTTTTAGTTTTTTTTTTCTATAAATATCAATAAAATTTTATCTGTTGGGCCTAAAAGTGTAAAAATTTAATGCAAG